GTCATTCATTTTGAAAGTCTACTTCCCGGCATAAGTAAAGGCGTTTCGCCCAAATGCTGTCGTCATACATCTTTTTAGCATCAAGCGAGAACACCCATAGGAACAGGGCGCAATACCACGTTGGTAAACTCATGAAAAAGAAAGAAGTCATAAAATGGAGCATAGATATGGAAGGAAATTGAAAATGAGGAATTACAGGAAATCTTCTATGATGGTTACACTGTGCATTTGGTGCCACCCGAGGAGATGTGACTTCAGCACTTGTGTTCTAACCAGACCAGTGTATTGAAAACGGTTTCCACATCTTGAAGTGTGTGTCAACCTAGGGTTTATTTTCATTACCTTAGTATTTCATTCCATACTGATTGCCTGATTACGTGTATTAGCGCACTTACTTCAGCTTGTCAGGTAACAGCTTACTCACCATAACGGCGTCAAAGAGCGACCGGGGGCTCACATAGATGAGCAGTTATAATACATTGTATGCATCGCATGAAACTGAAGCGTTAGACTGGTAAATTCAGCTGATATCCAACAGTTTTGTGCCTTTTCCCATTCTGAACAGAATTAACACGGCGTGATAAATAAACTAGTCTATCTCGCCTGCACACATGAAAATTTTTGTGAGCCCACTACCGTCCTTCTCGGGGCTTATTAAACAGATGTACTCACCGAGATCCCATCAACCTAATGTTTAACTTAAGTCTCCCGTTAACACCAATGTATTTTGTAAATGTGTGTATTTCGTCCGTCTTGTTCACGGAATCTGAAAAGCCGATCCTCTTGTGTTAGTTTCCTCCAAAAAAAACTGGATAAGGCCGTTGAGTAAGCAGTCCCTTGGCCTTCGTTACATGCCTCTTCCCTTAGTGGATTGGTTATGTTTGCACCGTCCTTATCACCATCATTAGCAACAGCTGTAGTATCAACATGTTCCCCTACCGTGGCTCCCCAAAATTCTTTTCTGGTACGAAAATCGAAGACTGGAAAGGGAAAGATGCCGATGCTAGCCTACTAGGTGTATCCTGATTCTGTCAGATGGTCGTAATGGAAACTGGCATGACAGAGTGCATGGAGTATATGAGGTGTATAGTGACCCAAAGATTAGAAGGCATATTGTATCCAAATTATCCGTTATCTCCTGTGGCTCTTTTGGCGAATTGTGGTTTATTTACTTCGTTGTTAGAGCCCGTCTAGATAGAGCAAGAAGGACAGCAGATTTCTTGCTTAACAAACTTTGTAGTTCTATATGCAGTCACAAGTGGATACACTTATTGGATCATCTCGGAACGGTTTCTTTGGACACAAAATCGGAATGTGAATTAATGCACCGGTTTTATGGCCACTGATTTTAATTAAATAAAACCTTCTTTTAGTCATTTCGGTGACACAGAAGCGGATGAAGACAACTTATATATCCTGGCTCATCATCACTGTGCTATCTCGAAGAAAGGTAAAATAACCTAATGTACTAGAAATGGACTAGAAGGTACAAAGTCCAAGCTTCGGATTGCTAGGCAGATTAGTGGTCATCATCTTCCGGAATGGATTTCAACACTGCTCATTCTGTACAATTTCAAGGCATTCTTTGGACTTGTTAAAAAGGTAAAATAAGGATGAATATGATCTGAATGAGGTCAGGTCGTAGGTCTTCCGTGAAGCTTACATATCTCCCAATAGAAGCACAACTCCATCACAAGGACAAAGCTGCCCTCCCATTCAGAATCCGCCAATATGCACAAAGTGCAGTGACTGAATATACCCTAATTTCAATAGTTCAGGGGTAGAATGTAGCTTTGATTGAGACGCTAAATGAGATGAGGAAACACTGAGGGTTGTTGCCATCCTGATAATGTCAAGTTCAGTTCCACCTGTAAGTCAGTTGACAGAAAGCAGTTGCGGACGTTGTTAGCAGTGCTAAAAAATCCGTGGACCCGATTAGACTCGTATAAAAGTTGCCTTCTGTCACGTGAATTCTTGTTGAAGTAAATATATCCACTCTAATTTGTTGAGGTTTCCGGATGTTTATGCGCCGTAATAGCTCAAAGAACGAAACATCTCAGGAACCCATTAAGCAATTTTTCATTAAGGTTCATTCTGTGAAAGTACTTTTCAAACTTCACAAACTGAAGCAGTATCTTGAGATCCCCTTAGTGAATGTAATCTGGGCATTAGACTGAGTGATATGCTTCAAAATCATGCGGTACCGCTATGAAGACTCCGGTGAAGTCATTTCGTTTCAGCTACAAAACCTCTCTGTGGATATTTTGGCATTGGTTTTGCGTCATCCGTTGGTCTTTCCAGTCAGCTTTACCTTCAGCAACACGTACGTATTTCGTTTCACACCCGGCCCAACTACTGACCATTTAACTGATTTAGGTTGCACCTTTTCATGCCTTACCTTCAATTCTTCGTAAACTAATCAATACACATCTATAGCGCTAATGTCCACTGAAACGTAGTCACAGGTGTGTTGTGCTCAATTTGACCTCACATTATCACTATAGCAACAATATCGATCAACAATCAAATAAAGTTCAGTGCCATAGAAGCCAACAGACAAATGGCCTCAGTTATGTTCACGAGAGGCATTTGACGAACTGCTTTGCCACAGACAAGACAGTTTTTTGTTTGGTATACGTTTTTTGTGTGAACGTGAACATAGGACTGACGTTGATAGGTCTCAGCAAGAGCATATGCGTTAAAGTATCGGAGCTTTCGACATTGTTTACATTTCCTACTGGCTGAATGTTATCTTCGCATAGACTAGAATAAAACTGATTCTGTTCCACAAGAGTCAAGCATCTAGTTTGAAGGTGTCCTAGCCTTGATATAATTCTACACATGGAACCAGTCCATTCTGAAAGACGAAGAAACACTGTGCAGTCCATGTTGGGAATTATCCGCACAACACATCTCATCAATCTTCAGAAATATATGGACATCTGGAATGTGGATATGACCATCACATTGAAGCCATTTTTGGGTTGGAAGTGGTACGATACACATGCTTCCTGACAGGATACAGTACCAAGCATCTTCCAATAACCCGTTGTATGATATGACGTCGAGCGGCTCCTCGCTTGCAAACTTTACGTACAGTTTTTTGTTTGGTATACGTTTTTTGTGTGAACGTGAACATAGGACTGACGTTGATAGGTCTCAGCAAGAGCATATGCGTTAAAGTATCGGAGCTTTCGACATTGTTTACATTTCCTACTGGCTGAATGTTATCTTCGCATAGACTAGAATAAAACTGATTCTGTTCCACAAGAGTCAAGCATCTAGTTTGAAGGTGTCCTAGCCTTGATATAATTCTACACATGGAACCAGTCCATTCTGAAAGACGAAGAAACACTGTGCAGTCCATGTTGGGAATTATCCGCACAACACATCTCATCAATCTTCAGAAATATATGGACATCTGGAATGTGGATATGACCATCACATTGAAGCCATTTTTGGGTTGGAAGTGGTACGATACATACACATGCTGACAGGATACAGTACCAAGCATCTTCCAATAACCCGTTGTATGATATGACGTCGAGCGGCTCCTCGCTTGCAAACTTTACGTACACTGTTTCGAAAGGACAACATCTCAAAGGTCACGCGGGCCTCAGAGCTCGTCACAAAGCGTCATACTTCCCTCACTGTACACGAAGTCTTCCGATTCATATATCACAGGGCCTCAGGTCTGTTTTATTGAGCTTACAGAGATTAGTCTTAAATGAAGTGCATGTGAAATATCAGGGGACTCGATTAGTTCAGACAGTTTACGAATTACTTTAAGGTGGTTGTGTCATCAAGTAGGTTTCAGGAATATCGGGGGAAAACAGACATGTATAGTTCAGAAGACTCGATACATTTCTGGAAAGTAGTACTAGTGTGTGCTTGTCTGCTCAAAGTTAGGCACCGAATGTCACTTCATCACTGCATTTGAAGTTCATAAGTACCGTCCAAACGAATTTTCTGAATCCGGTTACCATGCCCTCCGAAAATGTCTGTCAAAACGGTGACACAACCATGGTCGAATATTTTTTATCTAACCACATAAGGAGAACTTGCTTGTCTTTTCAAAATAAAACTGAGAGCAATACCATACAGCCGTGCAGTCAAACGAGGAAAATGTTACGACACGGTAAAATTGCAAAGCTTGGTATAACAGGGAGTAAATATAACTTATTAAAGGCGATATTCTTATCACATTCAAGGAACGCTGCCAACAATAATACGCGAGGTTTGGGTATTCACGCAATTTGAATAGTGGTGTGCTGCAACATGGGATTCTTTATTTGGTTCGGAGTATCTTGATTGGTGCGACATTAATGAATATCTCACATGGTCTAGTCTTGGACGTCAGTGAGGCATCCACTTAGAGGACGCTTGAGCAGCTGATGTTACCGGTAATTAGGTTACTAGTGAATTGTGCGGTAGTACAAGTATATTCAATCCTCAATCCAGTAGCTTCCGAAAGACGTTCTCGTTTGCCTGCTTCAGAAAGACGGTTGAAATTAGGACGGGTCGTGTTTGAGAACATGCGCAGACACGGTTAAACTGCAAAAGGGTGTAGCTGGATCTATAAAGTACTTTGTGAGAATAAAGATAGTGAAGACAAGACAAGCCTTCAAACATGTGGGAAAATTTTCAGTTGTGTTGATTGCTGATCAGGTCCCCGTTTATCTGTTCGCCGAGTTTGGTCAGTTGTACTCATTCTCACCCACGTCTAATAAATAAAGATCAAAGCTGGCTTTATTCGGACCACTGTTGTTGGTGTAGCAGATGCAACAAACTTGTTTTATCCAGTTACCGTAATCGTTAACACACTTTGGGAACGATAGGTTGGTTATACACTATCATTGTGTGATGTAGGCAGTATGAAATGTAGAAAACATCCCTAACAGCCGAGTTGTGCAGAATAGTATAAAGAACCAACTGCATTTCGTTCCTTCGCAATTCCTATGCCTTCACTTGACTCGTTCAACGCATTGTTTTTTTTGCAGAGACACCACTTCCCTGACTGACCACAAAAAACGTGTCCATGGACCTCGTGAATACGTGTGTGGAATTTGTAGTGCAGACTTTGCTTCGGAGTCCTATCTGCGGACGCACGTGCGCATTCATGAGGAAAAACGATTCTCTTGTGTCGAATGCACACACAGCTTCTGCAATCCAACAGATTTGAAGAACCACATGCGCGTCCATAACGGAGAAAAACCTTTTGCTTGCGAAGTGAGTTCTCTTGCGTTCTCTTGTTATCCGTCTTCTTCCTTGCGTTACACGAGTACAAACTGTATGTAATCGCTATCTTTTTCATTGACATTAAGTTTGGTCAACAGCTGGCTTATTTTTTTATGCAGAAGGAACACCTTTCAAGAATGTGTTAACTTGACACACGAGGATTTCCGGCAGCAATATCCCACGCCACGTTTCCAGAAGATTAAAAAACAACGGATGCGGGTCTTTCTGAAAACCACTCAAATCCATGCGCCCCTACCAGTGAGACGTGAACTCACCAACAATTAGTAGAATTAATTACGTACTCTTTAATGCAAGACATTCTGTCGACAAGGGTCCTGGGAAAGCAACAACATTCACAATTCTAAGGAATTGTGAAACTTCTTAGGTGTAAAATGTCTCGGGGAAACGCTGGTTAAGGGTTGATGTCACTGGATCCTGGAAAATCGCTTTTAGTTTTAACGATTGCACTTAGTCTTCGGTTCTGAGGTAACATTAGGCAAGGTTGAATAGTGCACCGAACCGCACAGGCTACCTAGCAGAATTTCGCCGCTAGGATGTCTGAGGGAAGGCCTGAAAGTGCCGTTTCCGCTGCTTGATTCGTTTCCTAAGATACTAACGGCTGAACTGAATAAAGGATCTAAAGATGCACCGAACCAGGTTACCTAGCAGAATTTCGCCGCTAGGATGTCTGAGGGAAGGCCTGAAAGTGCCGTTTCCGCTGCTTGATTCGTTTCTTTCCATACTAACGGCTGAACTGAATAAAGGATCTAAAGAGTTTTATGCTTCTGCGTTTTCATATATATA